CAGGCAGCAGGCAGGCAGCAGGCAGGCAGCAGGCAGGCAGCAGGCAGCTCCCTCCTTCCTCTACAGCCCCAGCGGCAGGCAGGCCCCAAGGCCCGGCCCACTCTCTCCTTCCAAGCCCGCTCCCCAAAAAAACCGCACCCCCAGAAGCTGAAGCTCCTCCCCAAGCACAGCAGCGGTTCCTCCACCCTCGCCTGCCCCATTCTCGCCCTCACCACCCGGCCTGGGCCGCCCTATGCCGCAGCGCAGCGCTCCGCACCTCCAACCGCGCCGCTACCCCGCCGCATAGCAACCGGGCAGCGCGTCGCTTCCGGGTGCGCGGCCGGATGTGACGCAATGACGCACACACGTGGCGCGGATAATCGAGGGGGCGGGCTGGGAAGGGATTCCCCGGGGGGCGTGGCCATAATAGGGGAGCGTGGCTAAAGGTGGTGGGGGCGTGGCTAGGCGCGGGGTTGGCGCCAATTCAGAGCCCGAGGGGCCGTTCATCGCAATTAAATCGCGGAGCGGCTGATGGATGAGCGGATAAAACGCGGAGACCTGTAGATCTGCAGGGGAAACGTGTAACTGCGTGTCGGCTGTAATACGTATCAATATTTGTAATGCAAATAATTCATAACGCCGGTATGGATCCAGCAAGAAACCGAGATTTGCCTTTGAGCATTCCTCTGTGTTTGGGGGCTTGTTGTCATCGCCCGTCCCGAAACCGAGCTTTGCTAAAGAGGTGGGAAATGATTCCCAAAGTGCATTTGGATGAGAGCAGAGCGGTGCGGGGCTCTGCCACGGAGCGGCGGTAGCGCGTTCCGGAGCGCTGCAAAGATGGGACGCACCGGGGCTGCAGCAATAGCAGCCCAGGGCCGAGCTTTGCACGCCTGCTTTTGCACGTTGGATCGTGCATGTTGGGTTCTGCCAGGTTCTGCACGCAGTGTTTTGCACAGCGGCTTTGCATGCTGGCTTTTGCAGACCGGGTTTTTGCACACCAGTTTTGCACGCTGGGTTTTGCGTGTTGGCATTGGACGTTTGCACACCAGGCTTTGCACACCAGGTCTACACACTGAGTTTGGCACACCAGATTTTGCACACGAGTCTGGCACAGCAGTTTCGTGCGCCATCTTTTACCTTCCAGTAACCAAGGTGGGGTTGGGGCTCTGCTTTCCATCTGGGCTCACCACGCTTTGCCACTTTGTGATGCAATGAGAGCAAAGCTGTTCATCTCAATGTGATCATCCCCATTAGCTGCAGCGCTGTAATTAACTAATCACAGAAGCAATGCAGACAGAGCCCTTCCGTCCACCTCCTGCATGCAGATACGCTGCATCACAGCTCCAGCAACACCTTGCTCTGGGTGCAACGAGCCCTGGGAGCACTGCAGCCATGCTGTGGGTGCACAGCTCTGCAGGACTGCCAGAAATGGGACTTCTTTAGAAGGACTGCAGCACTGCATCCTTTCTGCATGGTACAAACCTTTGTTAGCTGATGAAAACACACAGAACTGCCGATGCAAGTGGGTTGCCAGAGCCTGCAAGCAGCACAAAATGGAGGCCCAGGAGGAATGCTGCATTGCTTTGTGCCTGCTAATTACTTCCAGATGCATGGGCTCTGCAGCAGCGGAGGAAGCTCTTCGCAGTTTGCGACCATATTTTGTGGCATTCCTTTGTGCCCGGTGCACAGAGCATGACATAGACCTGGGGTAACAATGCTGCAGGGCCGAGCTTGGAATGGAACATTGGGGCATTTGCAATTTCAAATGGAGGAGTTGGGGGACCTGCAGCCCACCAGATGCATCCCTATCTGGCAGCAGCACCCACCCTGCCCACACCCTCTCCAGTATCATCCTGCAGCAGCAGTACTGGGTCTGGCAGATATGGGACTGCTGATCAGCTCTGAGCAGAATTCAGAGTCCTTTTTGCATTTTTGTGGGGGATTTTTGGTTGTTAAAACTTCCTGTTTCAATAAACAAGTAAGTAAAATCCCAGTCCAGCTGGCTTTTCATTTGCTTGCCCGTTTGCAGAGCTCCCATCTCATCCTTTGCAGCTGAACACGAAGCGTTGCACATCCCAGTGACAAAGCTCAGCCATTGCAATGCCAACAGCTGATGGCAGAGCATTGCCACCGCTTTGGGTGCATCCCACACCCCTCATTTTGCAGCTTGCCCAAAAGAAAGCACACAGCAGAGCTGTGCACAAAGCCAGCAGCCTCCTTGTGCTCGCTGCCACCCAAAAACCCTACTAGCACGGCACAGGGCTGAGCTTTTCCCATTGTTTCCCCGGGGCTCCAAACCAGAAAGGCGAGCTGTTGAAAAAGATTGGGTGCAGGAAGTAAAGCAAAAAAGCCTCAATTATAGCCAGGGACCGCCTCTCCCTGCTGCATTAATCCACTGAACGAGGTAAATTAGGTCAGATTATGGGAGCACTGAAATAAAACCCACAGGCCAAATTCCTCACATCCACACCTCCCAGGCTGCAGAAACGTGGCTCTACCCATGCAGAGATCAGTGCCCAGCTTGCCTTGTTTTCCACTGCTCACCTCCCCAGAGCAGCAAGTACATGGCACTGATGCTTGAATAAATGGGTCAGCCCACTGTGGAGACAAAACAATCCACTTTGCTTCATTTGCTCATAGAGATAACAAATAACAGGAGAGCATTGTGCTCGCAGGGCGAACACGGCACAGAAAGTTCAGGTTTGAAGCAGCACAAAACCTGCACTTTTGACCCATTATTTCTACCTAAGGGCAGATCTAGGGAGCAAACCCACACAGGTTGCTGCAGACTCACTGCTTAAAACCTCTTTGTAGGTTTTGCATCTTTTTAGGAGGAGCAGGGGTGGGAATGATGGGCTGATGGCAATGCAGCTGTGGTGGGGAACTGACAATTCCTGTTGGCTCTGCATCCGCAGCGTGCAGGATGGGGAATGGCAATGCCTGCCCAAAATGCCGTGGGGGTTTCTTGGTGTTGGACACGAAGCTCGACCTGATTGCACTGCAAAAAGGAGTGCAAATGAGGTACATTTATTTAGATCCCTTTTCTTTGCACTGCACTGCTACAAGGTGCCTTTTCCTGGCTGCAATTAGAAGGCCAATTACCTGCTGTTCATCACCCCAATTAATAAAGTGTCCTGCAACGTGCTGCTGGAAGGCAACTCTCTGCACCAGGTGTTCCCTGCCCACCCTTCAGCCCACACCGAACCCACGGTGGAAATTGGGAAAACGCCCCAAAAAATTAATAATAATTTAAAAAATTACGTATCTCACTGGATCTGGTAGATAAACCCCAATTTCAGGTTCCCAGAAGGTGCCTGCCCACAGATGGGACACTCCTGCCTTATCTGCATGGGTACATCTGCTCTGTCCTGAAGCTCCAGCCCAGATAAACGCTCTGATGGGCTGGGGAGGGTCCTGCACTGCGCTGGGAGCAGAATGTCACACTGGGAGGGCCATTTATTTCTCACCTTATGCTGTTTCATAGCTGTGGCAGGGTGCAGAGGCCCCATAGTGGAGGTCAGCAGGAAGAACTTGAGCCTTATGGGTCTGAATCACCCTGTGTGATGCAACGTGCGTGCAGATTGCAGCTGTGCATTCTGCAGTGACCCATGTGGATGAGCAAACCTGCAACCAAGCCGGGTTTTCAGCAGCACGGGAAGCTTCGCCCTCTGCTCCATCCATGCTGATGGAACCTGGGGCCAAAAGCCATTGCTCGAGGCTGAGCTGTCGCAAATGGAGGAGGGTCTGTAGGTACACTGAGTTGAGTTCATGTTGTTGATGGATGGCTCCGATGCGCCATGCTGGTGTGGAAACAATTTCACAAAGCGGGAATAATTCCAGCTCTTCTGCACAGCGGGGAAAAAATCCCTGTGCATCATCATGCTGGCATCTCTGCTGCACCACCCACTTGTGCAGAGCTGCTGAGGAAGATTCCTTGCAACAAAGCTGCTTGAGATTAAACTATAACCTGGAAACAGCTCTGCACGTCACTTTGATTCATCCAATTTCTTATCAGGCAGCAAGAGGGAGGGCCGTAGGGGAAAGGGCTGGTTATGGTCAATGACAACACGACGACGTCTCCTCAACGCATTGGGAACAGTGGACCTGTTGCTTACAGAGCAGGAAACCTCCACAAACCACGTGCAGCAGTGCTAGGAAGTGCTGCTGCCGAGCTCGAACTCGGCCCTTTCCCTGCACGAGGCTGCATTACAAGAAGGAAGTTCTGGAGCCCAGCCTTGATTTACGGCCGCGCCTTGCCCTGCAGACGGGGTGATGCTGAGGGCACCCACGTGAGATGCGATCTGCGCTGGAAAGCAAGAGGGATGGAGGAGCAGCAGCGCAGGGCTGCCTGTTCCAGCCGTGCCCGTGGCTTTGCCTATTTTAGGGGGCTGTACAGGACAGTGCAGCACACGCATGCCAAGGGCTGCTTTACTCTCAGCAGCCCCATAAGCTTCAAAATTAAAATTAAAATAAGAAATAAAATAAAGCCAACTGACGGCAGGCGCTCGGCCCGCTCCCTCCTCTCCGCCCCTTAACGCGCCGCTTCTCCCGAAACCGCGCGCTGGCACGCGGGAGGCGCGCCGCATTCCGCCCGCGGTCCCGCCCCTTTCACCCCTTAACAACCATTCTCATCCCAGCCCTCCTCCCCATTCGCCCGTTGCCCTGTCAATCTTCCGGGCTGGCCTCTCTGTGACGTCACAAGCGGGAGCCAGCCTGTTCTCTCTACCCAATGGGAAGAGGCGGGAGACGGAGAAGCATTTCTATTGGCCGCCGCTGGGAGGCCCGGGGCGGGGCGCGGGCGCGGCTTTAAAGCAGGGAACGGGAGGCGCGCGCTCCCCGTGCCGCGCCCCCCCGCCCCCCCCCAGTCCCGGCCCCCCCCGCGTTCCGGGAATCCCTTTTCCCGTTCCCGATCTCTGCTCAGCTCCCAGCGAATGGAGCTGAGCTGCTCCGTAGGGGGCAGCACGGCGGCCCCACCGGGGCCTGGGCCCCCAGGGCCGATCCCTGCCCCTTCTGTGACCCCCCCGATGGAGGGTGAGGATTACGAGAGTCTGCCCAGCGGAGCCTCGCTTGGCACTCACATGTTGGCCGGGGCGGTGGCGGGGATCATGGAACACAGCGTGATGTACCCGGTGGATTCCGTGAAGGTGCGTGGGCTGGGGAGAGCGAGGGGGTGACCTGGGACTGGGCTCTCCGTGATGCTGGGGATGCACGGGGGGGGAGTGTAGCGGTGCAGGGTTTGCTCGTGGGGTATGGAGTTGTGAAAGTGGGTTCGTGTGAAGGGCATGGACGTGCAAAGGGGGTGTGTGAGGGGTATGGGTGTGCAGAGGGGGTGTGTGCACGGAGAGCTGGGGTGCAGGGTGTGTTGATGGGGCACAGAGCTGCAAAAGGGATCCATGCATAGGCTGCGGGGGTCCTGGGGCAGTTGCATGCAGGGAGGGCAGTGGAGGGTCCTGTATGGGGTCTGGAGGATTGCATTCCTGGAATGCGTGGAGTGGACGTGCATGGGGAAGAGGAGCTTGTAGGCAGTGCAAGGAGGATACGTGGATGAGGGATGGAGGTGCATTCTTGGGGTGTGTGTGGGGGGGGATTGCATGCACAGGGTGTGGGGCTGCATGCATGAAGTGCTGGGGGGTTGTGGTGTGCGAGGAGGGGGGCTTAGAGAGCAAGGGGGGAAGTTTGCTTGGGGGAACAGAGCTGTGTTAGGTTGTGAGCACACACAGCCCCAGGGTGCGCTGCCAGGCTGCACTGTGCTGTCATCTCTTCCTGTTCTGACATGGGAGCTGCACAGAGCCCTCCTGGGCAGCCACAGCACGCTGTGCCCGCCGGCTTTACGCAACCACAGTGCAAAGGTGCATGCTGTGCTGCTCTGTGTCCAGCCCTGGCGTAGCAAAGCAAAGTCCTCGTGCATGAACTCAGAGCAAGATGCCATCAGGGAAATTGCAGGAGTTCTGCTCCTCCTCCCTGCAAGCTTTCTCCTCTTGTAGCTTAGCAAACCGTGCATGGTGTAAATACGGAGGTGCTGCTGGTTTGCTGCAAAGCACTTTTTTTTTCCCCAGCAACCTGTGTGCCTTGGAGCTGGAGGGAGCTGCTGCCTGCAGGTCCCTGTAGGATCTTTGCACTCTGTAAGGAACTGAGCCTAATTAAGCTCATTACCATCAACGTCTTTCATTCTCTCAACATCTTTCCTTTTCTTCCAGTAAGGAAATGTGCTTTCCCTGCTCCAGGTGATATTGCTGGGATCAGGGCACGGCCAAGCAGAGCCCATGGATGCTGCACAAAGTGGGGTCTGGAGCACCTGAGCTGTTCAATGGCCTCCAGGAGGAAATGTTTTGGCCCCAGCAACTTGTTTCCTCTCAAAGAGAAAAGGAAAAGATACAATTTGGGAGAACTGTTTGTTTCAGTCACTTGCACCATTCCTGAACACGACATGCATCTGTGATGCTGCTACCCCTCTGGGGGGCTGTGGGGTTGCAGCCTGCCCATGGGAGATCCCCAGGGCGATGGAGCTGTGTGCAGGTGTCCCTGTACAGCCAGGATCATTGTGTGTGACCCACAGCTCTGCTGCTCTATGTGCTTTGGCACTGTGTGAGGCATTCCCAGCACTGTGGCTGTTTGTTTTGGGAGGGAGATGCAGTACTGGTCGTGCTCTGCCAGCTGAAAGTTGGAGACCTGTGGTTATTGGGAGTTGTTTGGTGTCTGTTCCTTTGCATTATTTTCTTTCTCATGGTGCAGGAAGAGCGAATTGCAGCAAGGAGCCAGGGGCATGCAGTCTGTCTGCAGGGCAGGAGGGTGAATGGGGTTTGTTGTAGGGATGGAGCAGTTTGGGGGCTTGGCTGCTTTGCAGCTCTTCTCCAGAAAGCATGCACCTGAATAGGACGGAGGGCAGTGCTCCTGTGAGAGCAGGTTTGGGATGTTTGGGTTTGGTGGTGAACCTGTGGGTATCAGTGCATGGCCACAAAGAGCAGTTTGTCCTGTTAGGGGATGGTGTGGGTGCTGCCAGCCCCAACCAACCTGTCACCCCACCCATGGTCACTTTGCAGCCACACATGGGGACTGGGCACTTGCTGGGAGCTGCTGCAAAACAGAATGGGTGACTGGGAGCTGCATGGTGACAGGGGATGCCAGCTGGTTTGTGCAGTTGTCCATCAAATCGGTGATGCTTTGCAAAGAAATACAAAACTGGAGAGCTGGCTCTTGTTAGCAGAACGCTTCTGGACAGAAATCCGTCCTCGCCCCATGGCTTGTGCCAGCTGAGAAACGTCTGGGAAGTGTCTGCCTCTTTCTGTGCTGAACTTTGTGCAAAGAGAGCAGCAGCAGCACTGACTCTGTGCTAGTGCTGCCTTGGAAGGAACATTTCAGAGCTTTTCGGGTGTTTTCAGCCTCTTTTCATCATGCTTAGATGGCCGTACATCTTTTGGGATGCGGTAAGGGTTATGTCCTCAAGCACTGGACTCCCTTCTTTAGGGGATCCTGCACGGTGCTGTGCGATGCATGGGTAGTGGTGGGCACTGCTGCTCCACAGGGATGCCATGAATCCAGAGCTGGGACTTTTGCTTTTGCTTCTGGTGCCCGTGCTGCAGGTAAGGCTGCCCGGATGCTTGCTGCCTTACGCAACAGGATTACTGGAGCATTTCTGGGCTGTTTAACAACAGGGGTGTGAACTCCTGGAGGAGCTTGCAGGCTGCAGATAAGTGTTGGAAGGGCTGTGCAGCAAATCAACTGTTTGCAGCCTTTAAAGGTGCAGCACTGATGCTGTGCTGCTGCGATAAATTGATCCAGCTGCATGGGGCTGGCGTGCAGCTGGGTGCTTAGGGAATACTAAGGGGTGTGCATGCATTTTGCCATGTGAAAGCAGGTGGATGCCCGGCAGGAATGTGGAGGTGCTCGAGGTGCTGCAGTGTTGCATGTTGCTTGCTCTATGGCACTGCATGCTCCCAGACATCTCTGATGCTCCGGCTCCAGATGCATGCTGCAATTGCACTGGTTTTGAATGCATCCCAGCAATGCACTGAGCTGGAATCAGGCTCAGTTTTGCAATGTGAGGGTGGAGCTTTGAGTCTGCAGCAGTGCACAATCCCTGCTGCAGCTGGTGGGTGCTGCTGAGTCATGGTGACAGCAGCATGGGACCTCGTGCATGCAAAGCAAAGGATGCAAGCTGCTCTGCATCTATTTTTTTAAGCACATTGCGAGATTCAGAGCTGTTGTTTCTTTTAGAGGAAAACTGTGCTTTTTAGGTTTGTTTCCAGCGTTGCCATGTGCTCTATACCAGGAAGCTTTGCTCGAGGCAGCGAAACTCCATTCCTCAGCACAGCTCCTCCATGCTAAGCAGCCTGTGAACTTTCTCCAAACACAGGGCATGTTTTGCTGCAGCTGTGCAGCTCTGTGTTCACCTCATGCATTCTCAGCTGCAGGCGTCTGTGCAACGGGACCACAACTTTTGCATATTGAGGTGGTGTATTTTTGGGGAAAGGCAATATGTGGTGCAAAAAGGAAGAGTTCTTTCAGTTGCATTCGTGACCCCAGATGCTTACAATCTGCAGTTCTCCTAGCTGCTCACTCGCATCACTTTGCAAATGCAATTCTTGTGCATTTTCTAGAACAGCTACTACAAATGCAGTAGGTTGTTACTCACACACTGCTTTACTGCTCTCATTAACAGTTTGGCTTATGATTCTGGGTTAAAGTCTGCAGTTCAGCCCCGATCCCTTGATCTCAGAGCAGTGGCCGTGGAAATGCCTTTGAATTTTCAGGCAACCAAAGGAATCCAAGGTCCAAATCAGCAGCACGTGGATTTGGTGTGTTCTCACCTCGAAGCGCAGCCCTGGGATTGCTGCTGGTTAATTGCAGAAGTGAACTGATGAGTCCTTGTGCAGAAGCACAGAGGGATGTGGGGGATCCTTCCTTCTGGGGCTGCAGTTTGCATCACTATTGCACTTCTGCAGAGCCAAAGATATTAAACCAGGGATTTCCTGGAGGGATTACTTGCAGTGCTGCAGCCCCACTTGCTGCGCTGCTATTGCAATATCAAAAGCTGAGTAGAAAAGGGCTGATTTTCACCCCTCAGCAAAATGGGTCAAGGTGTAAAGTTGGTGCAATGCATTTCTGGGCTTAAACTTGGTACAGAAGCAAAGCACTGTTTGCAATGCTGAGCCTGTAGCAGCAGACCTGACCTTCAGGGCTGCCTGCTCCCTTATCTGCTGCTTATCACCTCATTCATGAACTGCTCTGACCCTAAACGGATGAACTGAGTTCAGCACAGTGCAATGCATCTGGGGGTGAAACTTTGCTCTGAAGCTTGAAGGTGTCCCTTGAAAGCTGCCGGCCTCTTGGGAAACTTTGGAAAGCAATTAAGAGGAAGAAAAACTCCCCAGGGATTTTTGAGGAAGGATGCAGGTAACACCAAAACCATGGAGCTGGTGGATGACCAGAGGGCAGGTGATCTCCAGCAGCCATCCTTGGGTCCTCCAGGGGTCAGATTGGGCTTCACGCACCTGATATGGACAGGGACTCATCTTTGTGCCCTTCAAGGAAACCCATTTCCCAGTCATGTGCCCTATAGCTCCATGTGGGCATCAAAGCAGTGAGCAATTGCAGGAGGAACACGCTGGGGCAGAGACAGAGTGTTGCAAGCAGGAGGCAATTAGAACCCTGGCTGTGTTTCTTCACCTTTGTCTTTTGAACAATTGCACTTAATTCCCTGTGCATAAACAAGAGCAGAGGTTGCACATCCACCAGCAGAATTCTGACGTGTTGGTGTTGCAATGGAAGCGTGGACTTTGTGGGGTTGTTCTGGCAGAAGTGTGAATAAATGGGACGTGGGTGCATTGGGGTTCTGTGGGCGCTCGGGGGGCTCTGGGCAAAGTGGGCTCAGCAAAAGAAGGCAAAGGATTTTAGGGTGCTCCTGTGTGGAGCCAGGAGCTCGACTCTGTAATCTGTTTGGGTCAGTGGGGCCCATATGGGTGTGAATCCTGGAAGTCTTACATACATGACTGAAGCCTCTCTTTCCTGTGTGCTTTCTTGCAGACACGGATGCAGAGCCTGCAGCCCGACCCCAAGGCCCAGTACCGGAGTGTGTATGAAGCCCTGAAGAAGATGGTCCTGACTGAAGGCTTCTGGAGGCCTTTACGTGGGATCAACGTCACCATGCTGGGGGCTGGCCCTGCCCACGCCATGTACTTTGCTTGCTATGAAAAAATGAAAAAGTCTCTCAGTGATACCATTCAGCATGGAGGAAACAGCCACTTGGCCAATGGTATTTTAACATCTATTTTATTGCATTAAAAAGTCCTGTGATAAACCTTCCTCTTGTTTGCTTTGCACCAAGCAGTGAGAGCTGGGTGGGCTCACACAATAAATAATTGGGGGTTTTTGCTCTGATTACGTGACACAGAGGTGTAGTGACAGGCAGCATCCAATGAGGCATCCTGACACATTGAAGAGGTGGTGCAGAAGATGCTGTTATCTCACAAGCATCCAGCCTGTTGGCTTGCCTGGGCCACATTGAGTGAAGAGGAATGATCTTGGGCTGCATATATGTAGGTTGCTCTGAATGTAACGCCTTCCATTTATTCCCATGGAAACTACAACATCTACAGTGAGTGCAATAACTCTGCTTGATAGAGCAAATTCTTAGCTACAAAATGCTAGTTTTCAGTTCAGTCAGCACTATCAGCTGTGTGTTTTCTCCAGCAATGAACAAGCCATGCTAATTAGCCGTGCTAATCAAAGCCTGCACCAGCAGAGCTGCCCCCCCTGTGGCTGCAATGGCCCACCCACCCCTCCCTGCATCACGCCCCTGTTTGGCCTTTGTAGCATCAATGAATGTCAGTTGGTGCCATTTTTTTCCCCCCACTCATTTGTTCCACGTGCTTTTCTGTGTCAGGTGCTGTGTTGTCACACAGCAATAAAATATAATGGGGTATCAGAAGTTCAATCTCTAGAGCCATACCACCAACATCCACCTCTGACATTGCAAGCCAACACCATCAGAGAGGAGGCGTTACTTTTGGAGCAGCCCTCATTAAAATATGTAATGTATTTAAGCAACAAAATTTAATTTTTAATTTTTTTATTAAGACAGTGAAAAAAAAAACCTCAATGAAACCATAAAACCAACAGGATTTTGGATGTTGTTTTTGTGAGACTGATGCACCAATCTCTGGTTTGATGGAAGAAATTTCAGTTCTTAGTAAGGTCTCAAGAGGTTCATTAGAGATTTTTGATCTAATTTTGCTCTTCCTGTGCCTCATTGTTGACAGTTACTCACAAATGTACGTGCTGCCAAAAGTGATGACATGAATAAGGCAGACTGTGTGGTGAGGGATGTTTTTCTTATAGAAGTCTGATAAAGAGACATAATGAGATTTTTGAGCTGAATACCTGATTGCAGCTCTGTATTCCAGTTGAAAAAATGCATTTATGTCGCATGAAAATGGAGTTGCAAACATTGAATTTTTCTTCACAGTCTTGAAACAAATCCTCAAATTCCTTTATGGAAGCTGGAAGCGTGGCTGCATATTTTTTGCTGTTCACAGGACTGTTTAGGCGCTGCATCGACACGCATAAAATTATTTGCCATTATTTGAGTTGCCATGAGGTGATGGCAGCAATATGTGGCCATGCCCACGTGATTTGACCCAATGAAGAGCAGAATATCCTTTTTCCTTGCTGCTTTCCTGTGCCTGCCCTTCAAGTAGCTACAGGCTTTTGGTACCCATGGGAAAGCTGAGCTCTGCTTTAGTAAAAAATGACTGAAAGTCAACGGGAACTTCAAAGGGGAAGGTGTGGCTCGAGGCCGTCCTGCAGAGTCGTTAATGGCTGGCTAGATGTTTGCAGAATCTGTGCAATTAGTGCTTAAATGGCTGAAAATGCCTAATTAAAGATGCAGTGAGCCAGTTCTAACCATTGCTCATTCTTCAGTCCGGTGTAGGCTGAGTACAGCTGGCGAAGTCTTGTGTAGGCAAAGCCCTGTGAGTTGCTGGGAGAAGCCAACGTGACGCGGTCGGAGCTGGTTTGTGTTGGGCTGCCCTGCTTGGGTTTTTCCATACTGGTAACCCATTGTGTTACTGGGTGCTGTGTTACAGGTGACTCTGTGCTCCCTGGATTGCTGAAGGATGCTTTTGTCTTGCAGGTATAGCTGGGAGCGTGGCCACGTTGCTCCATGACGCAGTGATGAATCCAGCTGAAGGTAACAGTGACCTGCACAGAGAGCCTGAGCAGCCTCAGGGCCACCCCAGCCCTTTGCTGGGGGATGCTGCCTATGTTCTGAAAGGCAGAAATCCTGCCCAGGACTGCCTGGCTGCTTTAATTGCTGGAGCCTGAGTCACACCACGCTCTGCCCATAAACTTTGCTTGTAGTGGCTGTGGTTTTTCAAAAGCTCTGGGCAAGCAGAGCTGGTCATGCTGCCCAACCAGTAGAGCAGCAGTAGGGTTCTACCAGGTGATGGTGGACTTTGATCAGCTGCTCTGCCTTCCTGGGGGATGTCTGATGATAGGAGAACCAACAGTAGAATGCATCTAAAATCAATTGGCTGGACTGCTGTTGGGTGTTACTGTACTCAGCTCCTGAGCTGGATGAAAAGCAGTGAGAAACTTCAGAAAAACTGTTTTTAATGCTTAAAATTCTTTTTAATCAGAATAAATAACCTTTAACTGAAGATATATGTTGCCACAAATGAGCTCTATTGCCTTATCCATCTGTCCAAATTCCATTTTAGCCTGACATGAGGTCTCCTTGTTGATGGCTGAGTAACGCGTTGATCCATGAACGTGTAGAGCTACCAAACCAGGGCTGAACTGATCCCTTCCCATGCTTTCTGGGTTTTAGGGCAGGGGATGCAGAGGGTGCGTGGATCCTTGAGCTCAAAGTTTGCATATATGGAGTGGATCACTGCAGGAATGCTTCTTTGTGGGTTTAGAAGGGGTCGCTGGGTCTGCTTGGAGGAGCGCTTGGACTGGGTGTCGGGATGCCCGTTAGCAAGGCCCTCATCTAATTAATCTTTATTCCTTTGGTGCCACGTTGGATGTTCCCTGGAGCAGTGGTGAAGCAGCGGATGCAGATGTTCAACTCCCCCTACAAATCCGTCTGGCAGTGCGTGAGGACAGTGCAGAAAACCGAAGGCTTTGGTGCCTTCTACCGCAGCTACACCACCCAGCTCACCATGAACATCCCCTTCCAGGCCATCCACTTCATCACCTACGAGTTCATGCAGGAGAGGGTGAACCCACGTAGGGAATACCACCCGCTGTCCCACGTCTGTTCGGGGGCCGTAGCCGGAGCCGTGGCTGCTGCCGCCACCACCCCGTTGGACGTCTGCAAGACCTTGCTCAACACCCAAGAGAACAAAGCGTTGAGTTCACTTAACATCACTGGGCACCTCTCAGGCATGGCCAATGCCTTTAGGACTGTCTATCAGCTGGGGGGCATCGCGGGGTATTTCCGAGGGGTGCAGGCACGTGTCATCTACCAGATCCCTTCAACGGCCATCGCGTGGTCGGTGTATGAGTTCTTTAAGTACTTCCTCACAAAGCACAAGCTGGAAAAGGGAACATCCCTTTGAAGGACGGAATGATATGCCCTCTATTTGTGCCAGGAACACGCCAGGTCCTGGGGGGGATGAGGGGGGTCGCATCTGATGCCGCTTTCCTGTGGTCCTCAGCCACGTGTTCCCCTCGTCGCTTAAACAATAGTTTATGAAATACTTATAATAATATATATATTTAATAACTTTATTTTGGAGAGCCGAAATAATTGATATATATATATTTTTTTTCTTTAAGCTTGAAGTTGTAGTTTACTCCTCACCAGAAATCCTGGGTTATACAACCTAGGCTGTTTTTGTTTTGTTTTTACAGCAGAATACCCTATCATAGAACTTTTATATAAAATATTGAATAGTTGGATAATGTTTATCCTTTATTTTTCTATATAGGTATTTGGTTGTTGTTTTTTTTTTGTTTAATACAATTACAGCTAGATGCTGAGCTGCTTTAAAAGGGCTAAATTCTTCCCTCACGTGCAAGGAAGACATGAAAGCATTTATTTTTATAGCCTGATTGGCTTTAATTACACAGCATTTAGTCCCCAGGCAGTGGTATTGTGTGAGTGTCCAGGGACTGGGGAGACTTTCTAGGGGCTGGGGGAGAAGGAATGGGGACACCCCTGTGACAGACTGAAGGACACCAGGAGAGGCACCCCAAAATACCTGGGGTGGAAAAAAAGCCAATTTTTTTACAAGGAGACTCTTAAAGATGTAGAATTCAAGAGGAGAGTATTTTTCAAACACTTTTCTAAAGGTACATTTTTATGGTGTGTGATAGCTGGAAATGGCTTTGGTCCTCCCTTAACTTATTTGTATTTTTTCACTGAAGCCCTGATTCCGCTCGCAGGAGGGAGGGTTTGGGTTTGCTGCTGCAAAATGCTGGGATTTGTGTTCAGCAGCGTTGTGCCTGCTCTGAAGGGGATCCACCTTATTGCTCCTGCTGGGAATGGCTCTTTCCATCACATCCTTTGCAGAAATGCTCATTTTTGGAATATGGCCTTTGTGTGAGGGTGGAGAGCTCCAAAATCCCTCTTTCCCACTTTGAGAGGGCAGATCTACGCCAGTTTGTTGGCTTCTCTCAACTCGGTGTGGTTTTTTTGGATGTCTCAACCTGTTTCTTTGTGTCATCAGCAGCCGATGACAAATTTGATCAATTTGGGGGATTGCAGGACACCACTCGGCTGATCTTGATTTGCACCTGGGGAAATCTTGATCGTACGTGGAGCTCACCTTGCTGGCAGCAGCTGATGATTGGGGCTGGTCCCATCCCCTCACCGCTGTGCCAGTGGCAGCTTCTGCTCTGCCACGGATGTATTCCCAGCTTGTTTTTGACACGTTTGGGTTGGCAAGCATCCCCGTCAGCCGGGATGACACAAAGCAGAGCCAAACCTTCCTCTCCATTATTTGGAGAAGCTGCATTGATGTGCATCTCCATGGGCGGTGCTGCCTGTGCCTTGTGTAATCACAGTTACCTCTGTGCCAACGATGCAAGGAGGTCCTCGATGCCTTTTTGTCACTTAAGCTGAGCAAATCACTGTGTTGAATGCACCCTTTGTCTTAAAGTGCAAAGCTTAACCTCAATTTGCAGAGTTTTGGCTGGAGAAAGTCCCCAGCTCTCTTGCACACCGGGGTCCTCCAGGCTGGAGATGCTCCAGCCAGCTATTGGGTTTGGATGTCTTTTTTATTTCTATTTCTGTTGACTTTAGAAACCGGAGAGTCACTAACAGGAACCAGAACTGCACAAACGTTGTCTATTGGAGAGGAGTGGATGAAAATCTTGGGTCATTTTATTGCTAATTGTGGCATAAGGTGGAAGTTAACAGCTCTTTTGGTGCAGCTTTAGGTGGCTCAGCCCACAGTCCTTGATGCATCGTCCTCTTCCTCTGCTTTGCTTTACATCACTGTGTCTTTTCTGCACTTGGAGGGAGTTGTGGGTCAGGGCACAGAGGCTGAGCTCGTTACATTGGTTGTGTGCTGAGCATCCCAAAATGAGCTCCCCATCTCTGCCACTGTCCAGAAAAATGCGTGCTTTTCTGGTTCCCTCCCAATTGCTGAGCAACCAGGTTGCGTTGGGAGCTTGCTGAGAGCAAGGAGCAGTTGGATGTTCATAGATCTCTGCAGATCACCTTGGCTATTGGGTAAAACCAGTTGGAAATGGAACAGCTGTGCCCAACTGGTCTAAAAATTGCAGAAATTGAACGGGTTTCCTGCTGGATCCCTGCATTAAAGCCTCACCACCAAAGTTCTTCACCTCTCCTTGTGTTGTTTGAAAGTTTTGCTGCGAGTCTGAACTTTTATTTTAACCTGGTATGTGAATCGTGTACTGCTGCTTTATCTGCACCAAACGCACATATATTTAAGGGAGGATGAGTAACTTTGTCTGCAGTTTTGTTGTTGTTTTGTTCTTTTTTTTTGCCTGCCTCGGAATTTAATGTGTTCTCTTGATGCATATTTAACATTGCAGGAGTTCGTCTGTGAGATGCTGCTACAGTTGTGTCACTGGAACTCAAGGAAATAATAAAACATACATAAATGCTGGTTTTTGTCTTCTTGGCTCGGGGCTCGTGGTTGTTCTTGGCTGTGTGCTGGGGAACTGGTGCCTTCTAGTGGTGTCCCGTGGTGTGAAGCTTTTCGCTACCGCTCTCAAGGAAGCAAATGCTGTTATTCATTTATTTGTTTTGTCTCACAGTAGTTTTGGCCTGTGTGTGTGTTGTGGGCTCCTCTGGGAGCTGATTTGGGAATGGGTTTCCTTCTGCTGCTGAGATCTGCAGAGTGAAGATGCACATTCTGGCTGCTGGGCAGCAAAGCAGAGCAGCTTTTCCCACGTGCAAGGAAAACAGGTGGGGTAGAAGCACTGGGTGTGCTGCTGGGTTGAAGGTAACATCCATTTCAATGGGGAATGTGTAATTTGCAGGGCAGTTCTTCCCTCAAGAAAGTGGAGACAACGAATTCCTTGGTACAGCCTCCATGATCCATTGCCGTGTCTGTGCCTCTCCCCAAGATGCTGATGTCGGGCTGTAGGGATCTCCCTGTGTCTTCAAACCATGGCTTTGGCATTGCCTGCTGTTTTTCAGACATGGGAGGGCAGCTTGCATTTTTATTTTTTAATCTTCAGTGCAAACAAAGGAGGTGCAGCTGCCCATCAGTGTCCCAGGGTGGAGATGTGCTCATGAGACAAGATGAAAGATAAAGTGCTATTGAAGCCCTGCAAGATGTTTTGGACTCCTTTATGTTTCTATCTGTGTTGTAGGGACAATACTGAATCCCCTTTCCCCATTGTAGTGCAGTGCTGAGAGGTGAGGTCTGGGTTTGGAAGGGCTGGTGATGGTGGATGTTGAGTTTGAGTTGGTGGATATTGAGCAAAAAGTTATATATATATACATATATATGTAATGATTCAGAAAGGTGTGGGGATGCTATGGAGCTGGTAACAGATCTCAGTTTTCTCTTGCAGCTGCAAGGAAGGCCCTGTGATTTTTATCATCTGATTCCACTGCATGGAGGAAGTCTGTCTTCAACCCCAAAGTGCTCAAGCATGGCTGAAGGCATGATGGGTCATTAGTGAGACAAAGCTTTCATTTTTCTGTGAAAAGTTGCATGTTCCAGAGAGGATTTGTTTCTCTAATTGACACTAATGGTTTCTTTGGAACCAGTACAGATTATTGTGTAAATATCCTTTGAGGGTACTTTTGTAATACCTGTTATTTATCCAATAGGCTGCAGCAAGCCCTTTAACTTGTAGGATTTCCTGCAGCAAGGGGCTGTGGGATGGTGGATATCTGCTTTGCTCCATTCTTTCATTATGTAGAAGCATTGAGTGGGCACCAATAAATAAACCCCTTCCTCTTATCCAGTCTGCATTCTATCAACTCCCAAACTGCTGATGTCTTTCCTTGGGGTCTGTAGGTGTGTGAGATGAGCAGACAAGGAGATAAATGCACACTGTGATGTTTTGGATGGTGGTGATGGCCGTGCCCCCATGGGCTGCAGTGCTTTGTGCCATGCTGCACCACCAAAGCCTTTGGGGTTCCCACTGAAGTCATTTGATTAATCCAGGATCTGGGCTCTGTTTGTTCACCGCGTGCGATTATCATCTCGTTTGCCCAATTCTTTGTTTCTCATCAAATATTGTTCCTGCTCTAAAGGGTAATGAACATAAAGGCAAATATCTCACCTTTTCCCTCTTGAAATCTCATTAAGCTGCGTGTTTACCTTGGATGACAAGATGCAGCACACGGAGTGAAAGGTTTTCCGGCCACACCTTCCCCTGCTATCTTACTTTGTGCACAAAAGGAATAAAAACATTTGTATTTATTCGCCAGGCTTGACTCCTTTCAAAGCCAAGGGGATCCGTTTGAAAGTGTTTTCTGCTGGGCTCAACAGGTGTGAAGCTGCTGTAGAGCACTGCTGAGCCCTGGTTGCAGGTGGATATGGAGGTGAGAATTAATTTCAGCCCCCAAATACTGAGCCATTTTGGCAGGTCATCCACCATCCATGTGCACTCCCAGTGCAGAATCCTGGCTTTGCTTCTCTTAGCGATGGAGAGAGATTTCAAACATGAGTCGTTTTGATGGAGGGCAAGAATTCAGGTTTTTGCCATTGTCTTTTGGATGTGTTACAATTTGCACAGCAAAATCTTTTTATTTTTTTGCCTGTAGGAAACTGAACTCCCCAAAAGATGGAGGTCTGCAGTGGCCACCATGGCCCATGTGCCCTAGAGCACTTTGGGTTGAGCTGCATCTTCCAAAGGCTTCAGAAAGGCTCCCCAGCTCTTGCCTGTGCTGATGGGGGTGAGGTTGTGGCTTTAGGCTTCAGCTCTGGGTCTGAGAAGCATTGCTGTTGGCTGCAAAGGTGACCATTGTCAGCTCCATGTATAATTAAGCTTATTGAGTGACTGGTCTTGGGCTGAGGTGGGAAAGTATCTGAATCGTGCTGGATTTGGTACCTCCTTATATTTGCATCATTAATGACATGTCATCATCAGCATCATTAGTCATAGGACAAGAGGTAATGGCTCTAAGTTGTGCCAGGGAAGGTTTAGATTGGATATTAGGGGAAATTTCTTCTCTGAAAGAGTGGTAATGAATTCAACAGGCTGCTCAGGGAAGTGATGGAGTCGCTGTCACTGGAGCTGCTCAAGAACTGTGAAGATGTGGCACCGAGGGACGCGGTCTGTGGGCATGGTGGGTTGGGTTGGGGTTGGACTTGGTGACCTCGGGGGTCTTTTCCAACCTTAATGACTCTGTGACACTACGGACGTGGTGGAGGTGGCTTGATGGTTGGAGATGATGGCCTTGGTGGTCTTGTCCAACCTTTATGATTCTACGTTTCTCATCTATGCCAATACCCAGCAGCCAGATATGGGATTCATAATACCAGGTTGGTATAAATGGAGCTCATGCTCTGCTCGCTTCAGACCCAATGCTTAGAAAACACGTTTGATTGCAAAACCTGTTGCTGGCACCGCAGTGTTTGCAAAGCTTTCGGACATCCTCCCGCAGAGGAAGCTGTGCTGGGTGGACCTGAGAGCAGTTCTGCCCTGTGCAAACCCCACACATCTCCAACACAGCACCCTGCAGCCCTGGCTGCCCCCACCCAGGCTCTGTTTGCAAACAGGCTTGCCCTAATCCCTCTGCTTTCCGCCACGGCACAAGGAGGACCCTTTTGTGTTCACCTGCCAATGGGTGGGAAAGTACCACAGGAAACTCCAGAGCAGCACGTTTCCTTGCTTCTAGCCATGCTTTGTGCTCATTCCCAGGGAAAACGGGCTGACTGAGCCCTCAGAGGTTGCACTGCCTGGGGCTGAGAAATAATCTGCTTTTCCTCCAAGCTGCTTGCTGCAAAAAGCTGTGAGCACAGGGAGTTGGTGGGGAGCCCGTGTGTGGTGCTGGCTCTTTGGACCCCAGATCACGGCAATGGAAAAGGAAAAAGTGGGAATAGAACTGAGCCAAAGCAGCCACTGCAGCAGCATGAGCATTACCCCCCTTATCAGCCCTCATTACTGTTAGGCTGTGATTTCTGCATAGAGAGACATGATGGCTTTGGAACATGTTTTTGAATGAAGTGCCTAGATGCCCTCTGAGGGATTTTGGGTGCTATAGTGGTTTGGATGTCCAGGTGGGGCCATAGAGAACTGACATGGTGCCCCCTTAGCCCCCACTGTCTTCTTTTTGGGATAACACAACAAAGCCAGAGCTCTGACTCCAAGTATATGGCTCTGAAGCCCTTTTTCTTTTCACTTTTCCTCCAAATCTGGAGCTTTCCAACTCAAGTGTAGCCCATTCGTGTTCAGTCCATAACAGAAGAAAGGAGGAATGTGCCTTGGATGCCTTTTTGTGGAAGACAATGAAGGAGATTCGCACAGGAATGCCATGGGAGCCAATCTGGAGAGCTGTGTTCTTCCACATCCCAAAGGGCTCTATAAAAGTAGAAAAAACCACAGGTGTTTGTTTTCATTTTCTCTCCTTCTCTGTTCTTCACTGTGGTGAAAATCCACTCAACTCTTCCTATGCCTCCATCACTCACCTGGATCCCTGCGAGGTGCCTGGACCACACAGACCGTGCATGGAGCGTCCCTCTGGGTGAGCTGAAATCCCATTGCTACAGCCAAAACTCACATGTCGCAGTGATTAGCAGTTCTCATTTCCCCAGGGCAGGCAGAACCAGCGCGTCCCACGTTGTGGTGGCAGTGATGGCACCCTGGGGCTGCCTTGGGGCAGCTCTGAGTGTGGGCTGTGCAGTGCCTGCCGCGAGACATCCTTACTGCAGAGTGGGATTAGAAGGAGATTAAGTGTTTCTTTGGATGACAAGAGCATCCAGCATAAGAATAGTAAATATTGAATATCCTCAAGGGTTTTGAAGAGCTCTAAATCCTGGTGCTTTGTGGATTTGCTCACCTCTCTCCTCGGGGAGCATCCACACTCCACAGAAGATCTGCTGTTTTCACCTCTGAAGCACCTTCCTCATAACTGGGTACCAAGACTGGGGGAATGCTGCTCTGATAACACTTGGGCATCCTTGCATTCTGCATCCCCTGCTCACAGCTCCTTGCAGTGGAACCATTCCCACTGCTCTGCTTTGCAAACGTTGCATAGGTCAAGACTAAGGTTGTTGTTGGCCTCAATCCCACGCATTCTTGCCAAGTATGTGGTTTATTGCATGCAAATGTTAGTCAGCAGTTACATTATCCAAAGGCAACCCTATTTTCTGTGTTTTTTGTGTGTGTGTGTGCTTTTTTTTAAGCTTTAATAAATGATTTGGCACAGGTGAGTTAAAAAGTTATGTCAGCATTAGGCAGAGTTTAATCTTGATGGATGCGTTCGCGGCGGAGCGTGAGGCTAATTGACAGATGTTAAATGATGCTTTCTGTTTCTGGCCACGCACAAACAGGAGTTCCTTTTTGTTAGGGCTGGTTAAAACCCTGTGCTTCCATTGGCTGGGTGGGATTTTCCTTTTCCCTATGAATCAAGGGGCTGGTTGTCACCAGGAAACCTGCCATGGTGTTCCCATTGGGGTTGGTACTTGGATACTCTTGGGTTATTCGGTCATCAAAAGATTACAGCCCTATAGGATGAGAAGTAAGTGGCCTTAAGCTGTGGCAGGGGAGGTTCAGGAGTCACCGTCCCTGGAGGTGTTCAGGAAACGTGGAGATGTGGCACTTGGGGACGTGGTTATTGGGCATGGTGGGGGTGGGTTGGGGTTGGGGATGATCTTAGAGGTCTTTTTCAACCACAATCCTGTGGTTCTATGGGCATGGAGGGGGTGAGCTGATGGTTGGAGCTGATGACCATACTGGTCTTTTCCAACCTTAATGGTTCTATGATTCCTAGAGTTTGTCTTTGTGCTAAGAAAGGACAAAGCCCAACTGCAAGACTTGGGCATCTCCCTGGCATCGCTTTGGGCTCTTAGGGCAGAAAGCAAACCTGGGAGCAGAGCTCTGGGCAGTGCTTCAGGACCAAAATTTGGAGGCCATGGTGACTGAGATTAAACTGTGGGATTGCAGGAAGATTAGGGGTGATAAGAACGTGTTTCACTCTTCCTTTTGGGGGAATGGTCACTTGTATCATGCTCACCAGATGAAGGGCAGTTAACAGGATGATGGATGAGTGATGTAGGAGTGCTTGGTGCTGGGGACGTAGGAACAGTGATGAGCAGTGATTTGCTAATGGTGACATTGGTGCAACATTCACAGTAGATATTTGTTTGAGAAGATGGTGGTGTTTTCATGGCAGAAATAGGAACTAGTGAGAAAAACCAAACCCAGAGCAAGGAACCGACCGAGGCAGCTTGTTCTTAACAAAGGTTCTGAGTTGTTTATTCCAGAGGACAGCACGCATCGGATAAAACAGTATCAAAACATATGTACAAAAAATAGCAACTATTTGCACTGGGCTTTGTGTCAGCAAAGTTAAGTATGGAGCATTTGGGTGCTGAAGCAACAAAGGGATGTTTTAAGGGGCTGAAACCACACGTGGAAAAAAAGCTATGGCACAAGGAGGACAAAGTTTTTCCCAATGAGCCATTCAAGAAGTTGAGTTGAAATCTACGTTTCCCATCGATGACAAATGGGGTCAATTTGGTCCTTCCCAACACAGCAGTAGATTTTTTGCGGCGTCAACCCCATCCTGTTCTTTCTAAGGGTGCAAGCATCGTGTCCCTGCGTTCAGCAGCACCCCAGGGTGGATTCTGCAGGGTGTCCTCCCTTCGAGGAGCACAAGGACTCCTTTGTTCCAAGCAAAGTGGATGAGAGCAGGGCTGTGCAGGAGCCACATTGCAACACAGCCCGAGAGCAGGAGCTGGGAGAAAGTGTTATCAGCAGGTAGGAGTGACTTTGGGATGGTTCAGACCGCTGTCCTCCAAGCAGAGCCAACAGCTTTTACGGCATTGGCAACTGAGTATCCACCTCAAGTTTTGCTTTGCACATTCCCTGCCCCATCCTCCTACCCCGCAGCTCCATATTTGCTACGTGCATGCGTGAGCTTTGCAAGCAGAATTGTCACCCTGCAGCCTTGGCCCTGGGAGGTTTGTAGAAGCTGAACTCTTTGAGCTGTTGCTATTTTAACCAGACTGTATGTGAGCGTTCCAGCAGCGGCAGCACCCGGATATGCAAAACCCATCTGTCACTGTGCTATTGTCCCCATTCCTGGAGCCTGCTGGCACGGATTCCCACTCTGCAATGGCACTGGTGGCATCGGGCAGCCCCAGCAGCACCTCTGTGCCCATTGGGAACCTGAGGGGCTTTATTGCTTGCAGAAAGGTGGGGCTGAATGCCCCCTAAACCCAACACATATAGAAAATATGCAATGGATGGATTGGAGATGGAAATGCAGATTTTTTTTTTTAAAGATAACAACTAAAAATCACATGATGGAATAGCTGGTGCACGGGGTGAGCTGTTGTGCTTCCCCCAGTTGGTGGGGGGTGAGGGGGAGGGAGCAAAGAATTGCTTACAGAGGGATGGATGGGGAATTATTTCTTTACAGGCATACACCATTTCTGGCTTTCTGCCCCCCAAATCATGCAGTGTTTGATCACTGCAGGTGCTGTTAAAAGCTTTGGGGATGTTTAGTTTGTAGGGCTTGTTGTTGCTCTGGCTGAAAGCTGGCAGTGAGAGAGGATGGTGATGCAATGAGAGGGAGCTGGGCATCGCGTGGGATTCTTCGCTGCAGATCGAGCCTTTTAAAAGCTTTGGGGTTTTATTATTAATAATGGCAACAATAATAATGGCAATAATAATAATCTGGATTTTTAATTTTTGATAACTTCTGATTCTTTGGCTAAAACCCTCGCGATGACAGAGGCTGGTGCTGTACTAGAGGACACAGAGCATCACTTGAACTTGACGGCGCATCTCTGAATCAACACGGCCAAGGGCAACACGGCAAGAGGGGGTGGGGAAAAACAAACACAACAGCATTTGAGGGGAAAACACAGCAAGCACGGCGCTCACCAGGCAGCAGGGCTCCAGTAACACAAGCAGGGCAGGCAGCGAGCAGCCAGCAGTGGGGCTGGGGGCAGCACGGATGCTTTGTGAGTGGTCCCAACCTCCAACCCGGAGCCCCCCGCTCTCCTCTTGGTCTTGTAGCGGCGGTTCTGGAACCAGATCTTCACCTGCGTCTCGCTCAGCTGCAGGTTCTGGGCCAGGTGGGCTCGCTCGGGGGCTGACAGGTATTTCTGGCGGCTGAAGTTCCTCTCCAACTCCAACACTTGGCTGTGGGTGAAGGCTGCCCGCGAGCGCTTTGCTGGCCGGGGGGGTCGGGGCAGCACCTTCTGGGGGGGGTCACGGCTGCATAGTGGGGTCTCAGCATCTGTAAGGGGAGAGGACTGAGTGTCGCCCGCTGGGAACTGCCCCGACCGCTGGGTTCTTTGGGTTTCCATCACCCAAATTGCTTCTTCCCTCAGTATTTTCACCACCCAGACCGCCGATTTCCTCCTTTCTTTCTTATCTCTCCCCATAGAGTGAAGCATTCATGAGCCACTTTCCTCCTTGCTTTCTAGTTGCCCAAACCCCTCATCTCCTTGCTTTCAATCGCCCAAAATCATTCATTACCTCCATTTTCATCACCAAAGTCACTTGTTCTGTCATTTTTCTACCTTTCCACTGATTTCCTCACCTTTCTTGTTTTCCATTCCTTTCCATAGAGCAAAATATTCACAAATCACGTTTTCTCTTGCTTTTCACCACCCGTATCACTTATTTCCTCTCTTTTCGTCGCCCAAATAACTTGTTTTCTCATTTTTCCATCACCCAAATCTTCATCACCCCACTTTTTTCCTTTCCTATCCCTTCCACAGAGCAAAACATCCCCACTGCCCCAGAGATCCTCCAATTTAACACAGTGAACTCTCCGCTTGATGGAATTACTCTCATCCATTTGGGAGCTGTTTTCTCCCAAACACCCCCCTCTCTTAGTTCCTACAAGGAAAAACCAACCCCCAAAAGGGCCATTTTGCACTGCTGGTGACATCTCGAGGCGCTGCTGTTGCATACAACGTGCTATTGGGATTTTTACAGCATCACCTGTAGCTGTGCAAACCTCTCCAGCCCTTTATTTACACCGTAATTCTTTTCCTCCCAATGGATTGCAGCCAGTTTTCGTGTTGTTTTTTTTGCTTTTTTTCCCCCTCCTTTTGTCACTTCTGAGTCTATTTTCTTAAGAAGTGAACATAACACTCGAGATGGAAAAACAAAGGGCTGAATTCCAGCCCCATTGAAATCCCCAAGCTGCATTCTGGGTGATTTCCAATGGCTTTTAATGATTTTTCTTAATAGCCACCTGGGAGGATGTTTCAGAACTCACTTTTGTAGGAGCTTCTTTTAATAGAAGCGACACAGAAAGCCCAAATTCCCCTGGCAAGGTCTCCCTTAGCAAGCTCCATTTTGCTCTTTGCTCCCATTGCACAGCTCAAAGCTGCATTGCATCTGACTTTTCATGCAATTGCATGCAATTTGCAGCACCCTGCTTCTGCAAATTTAGCCGCTGCATGCTAAAAGGAGGTGCTGCTGGGGTTGCTTCTGTAGTAAGGCTGATATGCATAATGCACAGTATGTGCAATGCAGCAGAAAAGAGCAGAGCATTGCAACTGGAGCTGAGAACCAGCATATACACACAGTCTGCAATGCAACAGCTAGGAGCAGAGCATTGCAACTGGTGCTGAGCATGCAGGAAAGCAAACAGCAAGCACAGCAGAGCCCTGCAATCAGTGCACGGTGAGTACAGCTGCAGCAGCACCACCCAACAGCAGCACCAAGGGTTGCATTTGCATTAAAGGGAATCTTAAGCTTGATATTGCAGAAATGCACCCTCTGGGCTTTTTATTAACCAAAGGTGCAGGCAGCTCCTGTGCTTTGAGTTATCTGAAGTGCCTGAAGAAAGTCTTGCATGCAGTTGCCATTTCTCTCAAATGCTCCTTGCATTTGAAGCCTGGGTAACTTGGTTATGCGTGGGTTATTGAGGTTGAGGGACTTCAAAACTGAACCCTCATCCTGCCCTAAGGGTGAGCATCCCACAACACCCCCCCTTACCTGGATTTGCATCGTGGGGCTGTGCTGGGGATACTGCAGGGCCATCCTGCTGCTCCCCATCCTCTGGTATCCCGCCTCGATCCACCTGTGCTCCCCTCTCAACCCCATCCCATAGGATGTCCTGGATGAGGAAGGACGTCCGAGGTCTGGATGAGGTCTGCTGGGGGCTGCTGGAAGCTCTGTGCCCCCCAGGGCTCAGCACCCCGGTGCTCATCCTCCTTCTCCTCCTCCTCCTCCTCCTGCTGCCCGCGGGCTCAGTGCCTCCCCACCCTCCAGCTCAGCATTTATTGGGCCCAGGGCCAAACCTCCGGGGCCTGATTGGAGACTGGGACGTGTCTACGCCCTTTGCTGGTGTCCCAGCTCTGCAGGATTTCTGCTCAAGCACGGCAAAAAATCCCTTCTGCTGCCTTGCTCAGGACGCCCATCCCCATCTAACCCTGCTGGGATAACCCCAGGGCTTTTATTCTCCTCTTAATTCTAAAGTGCCCAAAGGGAATTCATCTTTTTGGGGTGAAAGCAGGGTTTTGGAGGTTCAAAATAGAGTTATTAGGATATGATGGTGCTGCCTTGGATGGGTGAGCAGAACACTTTTTGCATCCCCACCCCGATCCCAGTGGGATGATGCTCCATGTGCTTCGCTTCTGGATGCGGTTTACATCCAGGGCAAACCCTGGAATGCTGGAGAATGGGGAATGCTGGTTGTGTATTTTGAGAGTTTTCTTCAAAGCCCTTTGGAGAAAATGGCAAACAATGTATTTTAATCAGCTTTGCAAAGCGGAGGTGCAACGGAGAGATCAAATCTTTGTGCAGGAAGGTGGGGAAAATCAACCCAAAACCCCAGGCTGATTCCTCGTGGGTGTGGACCATGAGTTGCAGAGCAATGCTGATGTGAAATAAATGTAATGATGGTAATGATCATAGTAATTAAAAAAAAAGAGCAAAAAGCTCAAGAATAAAAACTCAGTAGGTTTGCAGAATACTGTTATGTGATGTTATGTGTTATCATGATTGCATTCTGTTGTTGGGTGGCTCCTTGAGTTGGACCCAAGGAGCTGCATGGGTTCCTTCCAACTTGGGATATTCTGTGATGTGATGGCATGATATTGCAGAACATGCATCTTCTCATTTTGGGCTCTTGCACACGCGAACAAAACCCACGAACCACCCAAAAGCTGGGCAATGTCCCACTTTCCAGTGAGTCCTTTTGTTCCAGTGATGCTCATTGCGTTTTCCTGCAGCTGGACCATCAATCCTGGTGATGTTGGAGCTGTTCATGAGCTCAACTCATCTGTCCATAGGTCTGCCCTCATTGCCTGGCTCAATCCTCTTTTCCTTTCCCTGCTGACTGCAGAATAACCCATAACACTGGTCCAAAACCAGAGGTTTCAGGTTTGCAGTGACAGGAACCCCCTCATGGCCATTTATTGCACTAAATTTTGGCTGATTCGGGTTTTGCGGGAGAGATCTGCCTCATTTTGCAGTTGAGCAGTTTCTAATTTGGGCAAGAAACAGGAGACATTCAGAGCAATGCTGGATGTACGGAGCAGAGCAATCCCACAAACACTGGGATTTTAAGCATCTCCTGACCTCAGCCTTTGGGAAAACCACGATACACAGGACTATAAAAGACATCTTAATACTTCATAAGTCTGATTCCCAGGCTTAAATACATGTAAAGAGAGATGTACATAGAAATGTACATATATGGTCCTTTGGTCCAGCAAAGCATTCAGTGCTGGTGGGTTTGGGTCCCTGCTGGCTCAGCACCAACACTTTTTTTGCTTCAGATGTGATTCTCAGATGCAAACTGTGGATGGAGAGGTTAAAATGCTGAAAGGGGAAAGCTGAGAGAGGGGAAACACGTATTCCCACCTTTTTTTTTTCTTTTTAATTGCAAATAATAATCATCATCAAGACAAAAATGAACACCTGCGCTGGTAAGTCATTAAGAAATACGGATATCCCAAAAGATGAGAGGAACTCAAAGCCTTAAATAGAGCGTTCATGGAAAAGCAAAGGCACAGTGGTGTGCCTTGTTTCCTTAGGAAGAAGAGCAGCATCCCATCCCTAAGCACCCCACAGGAGCATCCCTATAGGGTGGGATGGGATAGAATCTGTGTTTGTGTCCTAATAAATAAATGCCTCTGGCCCTGAGGTCCCCGGATCTGAAGCACCAGAAATCCCTTTCCTTGGGCTGGTTGGTGGGGATGGAGGCCCCACATCCTGCTGTCCATTACGGCTCCGGATGCCCCCATCCTTTTCCTGGGCCACATCCCAACTGGTGCTGAGCCCAATCTCACGGTGTGAGCACCCCAGCGTAGCCCACCCCATAGCTCACCCCATAGGCACCATAGTAGGTGCTATAGGAGTAGGGGCTGACGGTGACCCCATAAGGAGCCAGGTGGGGTTGGGATCCCCCAAAACAAGGATTGCCATCTCTGACCAGCACCGGAACAGCCACCCTACGTGCTGGCAGTGGGTAGGTGGCCATCTCCAGGGATCTATCCTGCCTCTGCCTCTTGCATTTGTAACGCCGGTTCTGGAACCAGATTTTCACCTGGGTGGATGTGAGCTGGAGCACGTTGGCCAGGTGTTCCCTTTCCAGAGCAGAGAGGTATTTCTGCTGCTTGAATCGTCGCTCCAATTCCGACACCTGAGTTTGGGAGAACAAAACACGGGGTTTGCGCCGCTGCGGTTGCTTGGGGTGGTGGCAGGGCTCAGTTTGCTGCTGGTCTGTCTGCAAGGGTTGGGAGAGCAGATGTTGTCCTGCAGAGGGAAAAGCCCGAAGCAAAGTGAGACCCCAGCATGATTTTGCTGCCAACAGGGAAATAAATTGGGAACGGGGCCCCGAAAACCCAAAACGTGATGAGATTCCAACCTAGTCCTCCTGCCTCTGAGTTTCCAAAGAGGGAGTCAAATGGGGAAAGGGGCCCCCTGGGATAACTTAAATGAGTTTTTCCTATGATATTTAGTGGAAATTCAAGAAAAAAAAACCTTTGTTTTGGGGATCTGTTGCATGAATTTTGGGTAATGCTTCATTTCTGTCTTTCTCACCAATGGGTGCTGCACCTGTGGCAATCACAGCCCAGAGAGGCACAGGGAACATTGGGTTTGCTGTAGGACAATGTACCCCAAACCTCAAATCCTCTTCCCCACATCTTACCCATGGGCATGGAAGCACCCACAGGGGTGGGAACACCCCGAGGGATGGAATCACCCACACACAGCCTTCACCTCCAGCACCCCAACCACGTGGATCTCCGAATTTAAGCAAAAAAAAAAAGGATCTGGGAATGAAGGAAGAAAACCTCAAAGATCTAGAAGAAAGTGGAATTGAGGAGGTTTGACTGGTATTATTATTGCTGATGTTATTATTCTTATTATTTTGCTGCTCAGTGATTGCTGTGCAGTGATTCCTCGCTGCTAAGATGCGCTCAGATCTCTTGGAAACCGTATTATGGTTTGGGGAGATTTGGGGGGTCTATGGGCAAAAGTGATGCTGGAAGGCTTCGTAATCCTTCCCTGCATATTCCCACCCTTCCCATCTCTCTGCTGCCTCATCCCAGTGCCTCCCAGTCCTCGAGCTCCTCTCTTAATGGTTTTCCCGTTAATTCCACTCCGCAGCCGCCGGGCTTTAGGGAAACACGAGCAAAGGAATCCTTGCCCGATTTAGCCAGAAGGGAAAGAGGGTCCCCATCCGATTCCCCCCCTGAGCTCTCAACCTCCGAACACCACAGGACGGAAGGGGGGAGGGGGGGGTGTCCCTTAGCGCAGTTTTCCTTTTCTCCCCGCGGGGACAATTTAGACCACATCGAAATAAAGCGTTGTGTCAGCACAAACCGCTCCGAATTGGGATTGTTAGGCAGGATCAGCCTCAGCGCTGCCCGTCCGGGGGGGGTCGGGTAGATCTGGGCATGTGGGGGTCCGGGGGCGACGCTGCAGTGGGGGAACGGGACAGGGAGAGGGGAGAAAAGGGTGCTTACGGCTCCCCCAGGGGAAAGGGATGGAGATGGGATGGAGATGGGGCTGCTTTGTGCCCCCTCCCCGTGGTGAGTGGGGTGGGAAAAAGCCCTGAAAGAAAACCCGAAAGAAAACGGAAGGGGGAATAAGGGGAAAAAAAAAGGAAAAAGAGGGAGGGAAAAAAAAAGAGGGGGAGAAAAGAAGAGAGGGGACGAAATGAAAAGGGAGGGGAAAAAAGGAGAAAAAAGGGGGAAAAAAAGGTAAAAAGGAAGGGGGAAAAAATCCGCTCCGGCGGTCCGGGGGGCTTCGAGGGTCCCGCGGCTTCCACTCACCCGACTGCGGTTCCTCCTCCCCGGAGGGGCTGCGGCGGACCCCGGGGGCTCCGGGAGCGCTGCTCTGCTCCAGGCTGAGGATATCCTCGACGGAGAAAGGGGTGGGCAGCATCCTCCGGGGGGGGGATCGGTGTGAGCTCCCGGCCTCTGCCTGCCTGTTGC